TAACAACATTACAACTACAACGTTTTGCTTTTACACAATAGTATGTACAGGCCATTTCTACAACAATAATCCTAGATCATATTTTTCTCCAAGATCTTCCCTTAACTTTTCCCGGCAAGAAGTAGGACTTAAAATATGTTTATCAACTCATAAAATATGGCTATGGTCTTTTTACAGTTGCCAACAGAAAGGGAGGGGGAAGCAGTGGGCAGCCTGCATTCCATGTTTTTCAAAGATAGTTTCTAGGCAACCGAAGTTTCTGCCGCGCAAAATTCTAACTGGAGAGCCTGATTGATGACTCTTGGCTATGGATGTGTCCCATTGGAGAATATGAATTACAATACACCCAGGGGGTGGTGGAAAACCAGGGTCAAGGGTGACAATGAATTATGTGTCTCAGAGTAGGCTACACCCAAGCAGTGCCGGCATGTTTACTCCTAATAAATCTTCTTTAAGTTTGGAAATTCAGCTAGAGACTCATGATTTAAATGGGGGTAACTGCTGGAGCCCTGACAACGTTAGGACTCAACACATTTAAGAAAAAAAAAAAGATGACAAAACGGACATGCAGTTTTCTGCCTACCTGCGGACAAATGAAACCTGCCCCGTACATAAAGCTTCGGACGGAGGAAGAAAGGACTCCGTTTGGGATGAGATTATCTGCAAAGATCATCATGAAATTGTTGCAGAAGGCTAAGTGGAAGACTTGGAAAAAGTTCATGATGACAAAAAGCAGGAAGTTTTTCTGAGTCAAGATCTGGCGGGTCAACGAGAACACCAAAGACCAAGAGAGGGAGGGGGCCTTGGTGCTTTCTGGATCAGACCCTTCCATCAAGGATTCCCTTTGCTCGTACTGAGTCGTGCTGTAGAAGCCGGTGTAGGACATGCAAGCCGTTGCGACGACCGCTACCAGCACCGTGAAGGCCTGGAAGTAGGCGAAGCGCTCCATGTTGGCCGAGATCAAACCACAGAACAGGATGCTGGTGGAGCCGACCAAGCTGGCTACCTGGTTGTACTTAATCAGCTGGAGGCGACTCTCGTGCCGGGTGGAGGTTTCGGCGAAAAGGGCGCACTGCGCCAGCAAGACGAACGTGAGCAGGCCATCAAAGGCGCACAAGGCCACGATCAGATGCAGCCCGCAGAGCCAGTCGTCTTCCTCGTATTGCTTCCAAGGAAACCACGGGAGGAGGAAAGCCAGGGCGTACAAGGGGGCCCCGTACAGAATCGAAAACTGACGGCGGGAGCAACAGGGCACCTGGGAGTTGTCCTGAAAGTACCCGAAAAGAGGGTCGTTGATGGCATTCCAGATCATGAAAACAACCTGGGAGCAAACGGGACAGGTCAGGTTTTCCCACAGCAAGCAAGACTGGAAACTCAACAAAACATTTGTTAGACCAATACTCGAATACAGTTCATCAGTCTGGAATCCTTATCACGTATGTGATATTAGCACAATTGAGAAAGTCCAGAAATATTTCACAAGAAGAGTTCTCCACTCTTCTACCCGTTGTAGAATACCTTATGCCACCAGACTCGAAATTCTAGACCTAGAAAACCTCGAATTACGCCGTCTTCGGTCCGACTTAAGCATGGTATATAAAATCATACATTGCAATGTCCTACCTGTCAATGAATACTTCAGCTTTAACCATAACAACACAAGAGCACACAACAGATACAAACTCAAAGTAAACCGCACCAAACTTGATTGCAGGAAATATGACTTCAGCAATAGAGTGGTCAATGTCTGGAATACTCTACCCGACTCTGTAGTCTCTTCCCCAAACCCCAAAAACTTTAACCTTAGACTGTCTACTATTGACCTCACCCCTTTCCTAAGAGGTCTGTAGGGGGCGTGCATAAGCGCACCAACGTGCCTACCGTCCCTGTCCTATTGTTTCTCTTATTCTTTTATTTTTCTATATGTACCCATTTCATATATTCACAACTATGTATACACTTGTACTTATTATCTTCTAAACAATTGACAAATCAAATAAATAAATAAATAAATTAAAAAAAAAAAAATCCGAGGATGCCCCATACAGGCAATCCTCGATTGACAATCAGTGGCTTAGTTCAAACTTAATTCATTGGTGGGATTGAAAAGTTTTTTTACTACCGGTTCTGTGGGGATGGCTGGTGGGAGTGGCTTGGTGGGCGTGGCAGGGGAAGGATACTGTAAAATCTCTATTCCCTCCCCACTCCTGGCCAAAGGTTACTGCAAAATCCCCCTTCCCTGACCACCCCGCTAACCTGCTTTCCAGCTCCGTTCTCCTGTGCAGGGCAACCAAAGAAGATCAGCTGTGGCTGTGGCTTGATGGGCATGGTGCTCTGTGGGCGTGGCTTGGTGGGCATGGCAGGGGAAGGATATACTGCAAAATCCCCATTCCCTCAGCACCCCACTAACCTGCTTTCCAGCTCCGTTCTCCT